CAGATCACATATGAGTAATGTGTAAAAAAGTGTTTGCATTGCAGTTAAGTGAAAAAAGATTCAATATTACAGAAAAAACACCTTACCTAAGCTTAACAACTTTTTTGTTTAAAAAAAAAAGTTTTTTCCGAAATTGCAATTTCATGGGTACTGGAAACACAACTACTACCTTGGAGGACACGCTCCTCTTGAATGTGGCAACAGTAGTCCAGCATCTTGTCACTGACTCTGCAGTAATCCCTCATACCAAACATGCATACAGCGATAGTGGAGAGGAAAAACTTCTTTCTAACAGGAAGAAACATCCAGCTGAACCAGGATCAGTGTGAGAGACCTTCCACAGTGGCTGACTGGAGATTCAAAAAGAGAGAAGCAGACATACAAAACAAGTATAGATGCACTGATCCATTAATGGTTTCCATGTTAGAAAAGGTAAAGATGACCTGTCTCCATGAGTGGATCTATCTAGAAAGAAAAGGGTTAGGGTTTGGTAAACAAGATGAACTCTGAGCTAGTTTTCATGTCAGAGGGGTGAAAGAGCACATAAATTTAGGGGTTGAACTAACAAAAACTGCAGAACATGAGAATAGAGAATAGAATAGAATAGAGAATAGATTAAGCAGTTTTTTTATTTTTTATTTTGGCCTGAGAACAACAGTTCCATATAGCCACAACATTTAATACCTACACTTAAGGTAGTCTCAGTGTGGATGCATCCTAATTGCCTGGTATAAAAGTAAAGCAACGTCAAGCGACTCCATTCTGATTGGAGGGAAGTGAGTACCCAAAGCTTCTGATTGGACAGGATAAATGTTATAATGCAGAGTGATCAATGAAATATGGCAAAGGTCAAATCCATGCTACTGGAGTTTAAAAGTTGGATGCATGGTTTATTTGGGTACTCAGTGTCACTATTTCAGTTTTGAGATGTAATTTAGATGTTATAATGCAGAGTGATCAATGAAATCTGGCACTGACAAATCTGGCAAAGGTCAAATCCAGGCTACAGGAGTTTAACCTGAATTATTTTGCCAAACTTCCAGAAAAATCAATTAAAGTTTGATTATTTACATAGATTGAAAACATATTTTATCTGCCAATTATCAGAAACTAATAATGCTTCATAATTTATTCTTACACACATAACTATGATGCATCTGTTTAAAAAAAAAAGATATTTGAACTTCCATATAGTCTTGTTCTTTAAGTCTATTCTCCCAACTATCCCTATCACAGAAAGCAACACAACCTTGATTAATATTGAGTAAATCAATTCCTATTTAAATACAATCAAAATTAGGCTTTTATTTTGAAATTCCGTTCTAGTAACCCCATGACTGACAGATGAAACTTGACCAAATACTGGATTTTGGCTGAGTAGTAAAGTCCTTTTCCTGTCATTTTCACACAGTGGCTGTGGGGCGTTCCCAACAAACACGTAGGCAGGAAAAAAGAAAATATGGCATACATTTTTTAGGTTTTAATTATACTTTTTAGTATTTCACTTTTGTTATTAAATTTATGACATAAAATAACACTTTCTTTATCAGACAATATAACTAAATTGTCAGATGGAATAGTGTGTGTGGGTGTGCACTTGTGTAAAAAGGGAGGACAATTTTTCCAATTTCACCATCATAATGAGGACCAGTTGTTGTGAACTTGAAGTGAGGACATTTTGCTGGTCCTCACAAGGCATTTTGCAAATGCTTAGGACTAAGGTGTCAATTCGGTTATGATTAGGGTGAGCTATACATAGGTACTGGTTAGGTTTAGGGTTAGTTTTAAGGTAAGCACATAGAAAGGGTTGAAAATGACTGAAAATCAATGGGATTCAACATATGGTCCTCACTACATATAGCAGAACAAATGTGTGAGAGTGTGATATTGTGTGGGGTGTGTGTGTGTGTGTGTGTGCGTGGTGGGATGGGTTGAGGTCATGGAGAGGAGTTTGTGTGTCAAACACAATGGTTTGAGTACTATGAAGAGATGGTGGTCCTCATTTCCACCCCCAACCTCTGCAGCGTCCGAACAACAATGGCACCTAAAGAGCCTTGAAGCTTGCACACAAAAGCATCACACATGTCCCTCAGAAAAAGGGGGCCATGTTTACCACACACAGATTTAAGACAGATGTATGATGCCAGAAGCCTTGAATGAAGTTACTCTGAACCATTTCCTTTTCTTTTAATGCTCTTTTATTGATAATAATTAAAAAAAAAGAATGAAGGAAATATTCCAATCACAAAAAGTAAAGTCTTAACACTCAACTTGGATGTTAAATTATTAATCAAATCTAGAAAGGCAAAGACGTGGATTGTTTTTTTTTTTCAGCATCAGTATTGGACAGGATGCATCTTATTTTGTCTGTGTTAAGGAGGTGAAATAAGGCTATTCTGTTTCATAGAAAAGATTTTTTAACAGTAAAATTCTAAAATGTTATTGAAAAAACTAAGTTCCACCAAGTTAAATAAGTTTACACAATCAGTTGAACAATTTTTGACAAACTCTTTAAATTTTTGTCTTCAACTCTTGGTTGGAAAAATGGATGAGAGTTGAAACATTCATGAGGAAATGTTGGATTCATTTTTTTCTATGTTATCATCTAGACCATTGATTCCCAAACTTGGGCTCCTTGAGCAACCAGTATGGGATATTTAGATCCACTACAGAAATTTAATTAAACAATAGGCATTAATTCTGAATTTTTTATATATAAAAAAGCATCTCTAAGTACCTGAAAATAAACCAATTACATTAGTTGTTGCTCCTTTTTTAAATGATTATAACACCAATGATTGATTTATGGAAGCGTTTGTGTACTCATCCAATAGTTTGGGTCATGAGCCAACTCTTGTTGGTGTTTGTTGGTGAAAAAAAAAAAAGAAAAACATTTGGGAAACTCTCATCCACACAGCAGAAAGACAGTAGCCAGAAGATTTTTATAAGGGTGGCCAGTCAAAAACCAATGTACACTGAGGGGTGGCCGAAAGAAGATAGGCACCAAAACCTAAAGGTCAATCTTCACTGTTCCAACAGGGAAATTAACAAGCAAAACATCCATATTTTCTAAATAAAGAGAAACTGTACTTTCCCACAGCCTTTGCTAACAAATAGAGGAATATATTCAAACATCTGTGCTTTCTAAATAAAAGATATAGTGGATAAAATTCTTCCAGGTTTGAGTTTTGGGCGGACATCTTTTCCATTGTTATTACTTACCTACTTTTATCAGTTATCATTCTGCATAAAATTTATATTTACAAGTAGTGTTGCACCGATACCAATACCAGTATCGGACGGGGCCCCGATACTGCCCTAAAATGGTGGTATCGGTATCGGCAAGTACCACAAATAGGGCACAGATACCATTTTGAAAGCCAAAAGTTTATTCAACTATTGTCACCCATTCCTGGTAGGCAATAAAAAGTTTTACTGGATTCACTTTGTATTAGATTTTTTCCTGCTTCACAAAGGTAGGCAGCAGCTTGACAAAGCCATGATGGCAATTATTTTACATTATTATGGTATCGATATCGGCCGATACTGCACAGCCAGGTATCGGGGCCAAATCGATATTTGCCCACATTTTCATGTCGGTGCGTCGCTTTTTCTAAGAATGCTTGAGCAATGTAGAAACAAATGCTAAAGTATCCAGGACTGTTGTATTTAAAGGAGGATGCCTTAACTGCTACTGGCTGTTACCATAGAGACTTTGGGAGAGCAGAGTTGATTTATTTTGCAAAAGTATTAGTTATTTTATTGAATATATTAATGATTACATTAGCTTCATATAGGCTAATAATCACAGG